CGAAAGGTTAAGAGAGTTAGTCTACTAACTTAATGCAACAATCCTTAATTAATTGGTCAACTAAGAGAGTTAGGGTTTCCTCGGTTGTTTGATTAAGAGATCTAGGCCTCCTAGCTTATTGTTGCAATCCTTAGCCAAGTGGTTAAGAGAGTGGTTAAGAGAGCTAGGTACGCTAGCTTATTGCAGCAATCCTTGATTGATCGACTAGGAGGGCTCGTACCTAGCTTGTTGCACCCGCCTCGCGGTACATAATTATACCCTTCACACTAGAGTTTCGTTAATTGATTCTTAGCATGAGACAAGGACGAGCAATACCCAGGTGAGACCCACGATTGTTGGCCTTCTTCTGTACAAAATTCTTTTTATTCTTGATCTTTTCTGATCGCAACCCAGACCCCGGACGTTCGATGCTATTATAGACTTAACCATTACGATATAGCTGCAGTTGGGCCCAAATCCTTTTTCCTCCTGCTTCTCGAACCTCCAACAAGATCAACCACGGGTCCAATGCTATGTCTCTCCATCTCTGCTTTAGAACGATGTACCCGCTTTTTCCTCTCATAGGTAAGGGAGGCAATCCTCTGAACATGGATAGCCAGATCGATGAGTGCGTCATCGTCAATCTTCAACCCGAAAAAGCTGCACATTTGTTGGCTACGGTTAGAGAGACTGTTGAGATCAAAAGGCGGATAAGCCGGGTCGTAAACAACGCTGTCGTCAGGGCAAAATGCATATGTATAGCCAAAACTTTAGTGTTTGTGACAATAATAGCCACTTTTGATGAAATACCAAAAATAGCCAGAATTTTGAAAATTCCATGACAAATATAGCCATTTCCGTTACAAACTTTAACGGTGTTAGAAACTCCGTCAGTTAAGTTAACGTTAGACGGACTAGGATGCCAAATCATTGCACACGTCAACAACAAGTCATCAATATCATTTCCACATCATTCTAATTTTTAAAAATAATTGAATTTTGAAATTAAAAAAAAAACTAAAAATATTTTTTTTTTCTAATTTTCCTTCTATTCCCACCTCCATCCCTTCTTCTTCTTCTTCTTCTTCGAAAATTACCAATTCACAAACCCTAGCCCCGCCTAGAGCAACCCCAATTCGCTGTCGTGCCCACACCGACCAGTTGACTGCCATCGCCACCCACATCGACAACTCAAACATAGCTGTACGCCAGCAACACATACCTCCTCGACCTAGCCATCGTCGCTCCTGTTACCACAGTCATTTATCTCTTGCGCCAAGCCCTTCCATTCTTCATTTGTTTTCTCAATGATAGGACCTGCCGTTCTACAATCTGACAGTTGCTCGACCTCCCTCTTGTAGCTGTGAGATATGGTCTTCTATGGGAGAGAAGTCAAGTTTGGATACCGATATGAATCAGGGCATAAACGCAGTGGCGGCATAAGCAAACAACAAACAGAGTGTGGTGGGGGGGGGGGGGGGGGGGGGGGGACACTGATTTTCGCGCGACGAGTTTCCAATTTGAGGAAACGAAAAAACTACACTAACCTTCCTCCTCTACAATTGATTCTGATTCTTGTTCGCGAAAACCATCCGCCGCCGCTGAGTCTTCCACAATCACTTCCCTTTGCTAGATCCCCCTTTGCCCCGCTGCGGTGCCTATGGTATCTTCCTGTTGCGGTCCTTGAAGAGGAAAAAGAAGACAAGGAAGAGGCTGGTGGCGGGGATGTGGGAGGTGAGTTTGATGGTAAGGGTTCACGACTATTGATTGGTTGGAGAAGGAATGGTTTGGTAGGTTGAACTGGATGCAGCAACCTAGTTATTATGCTAATTTGAAGATTCGTTAGTATATACTAATTAATATTCAAAATATATGAACTAATATCCAAGTCTACTGAGTATCTAGATAGCACAGACTAGTATTCAGAACATCACAAATTAGTATCCAGATTGCAGATACCAACTAATATCACCAATCAACCAACTAGTATTCAATATGGATACTGTTGTGTGTTATTTGAATACTTTTATGTGTTATCAGGATACTAATTTTGTGCTGTATGAATACTATTATGTGTTTTCTAGATATTAGTTTGTGAATTTGGGATAATAGTTGATTCATGGTGGATATCAGTTAGCAAACTTTGAATACTAGTCTGTGCTCTCTAGATACTTTAGTACTTGGATACTAGTTCATGTATTTTGGATATCAGTTAGTATCTGCTAACGGATCTTCAAGTTAGCAGATTAACTTTCCCCGAATTCGGGGGGTTTAGTGGTAGAGGAGGTGTCGAGGAGGTACGCAGAGGAAATTTCTTTTGTTTTTTTTTCTTCAATTAAATTCATGTGGCAATATTGTTATTTAATTTGATTAAATAAAAAGATAAATGATGATTATTTTTTCACCTAGTATTGTTTTTGAATAAAATATGCCACATCAATCGTTATTGTTAGTCCAATCAGCACGTTCATTAACACTGTCAAAGAATAGGACGGAAGTGGTTATTTTTGGTATTTTGTCAAAAGGGGCTATATTTGGCTAAACCGTCAAAGTTTTGGCTACACTAATGTATTTTGCCTTTTTTTTAAACATCTCACCAATTTATGAGTGATTTTATCATATTTTGGGAGTAATATATTAACTGAAACGGGTCTAACGGGTCGACCCGCAAACCCACCCAACCTGATCCAAAAAATCACAGGTTATCGGGTTCGGGTCATTCGGATTTTGAGTTACAAAAATTTCTAGTTTTCGGGCGGTTTCGGGTCGGGTTGTAATTTGCCAGGTCTATGTGTGTGTGTTGGGGGGGGGGGGGTAGTTTATTATTATGCTTGTGTGAGTGTGATTGATGCTTGGAGTCTTGATGTTTTCCTAAATTTGAAAATTTGAGGGCTCCAAGCAATGTTTGCATGATCAAAGTGGCGGTTTTTGGGATAATTTCGTGTCTATTGGCTTTAACCTTGAATTGTTGCATGTGATCGAGTATGTCCTATGATGATGACTGAGAGGTCCATTAGGATAGTGCAAAGGTTTAGTTCTCATTATGTGGGTGGATTGCGGATTGATAAATCTCCCACCCGCATTTATGTGGGTGGGCGATGGGTGGATTGCGAGTTACACGAATGACCCGCTTCCTATTTTCACATGAAAAAAATGTTGTTTCTTATAGTATCGAATATTCATCATATTTCCAAACCGCACTACGGTCTCACCATATACTTCTTAATGTGGAGAATAAATAATACTTTTGATTACTGTTATTGGTTATTGTGTTGTGTAATATCCATTAATTGGATATTGTAATGCAAATTATTGTTAATATCCATTATATATTGGGATGGAAACTATAAATTATTAATTGTATCAAAATCACAACATGCGTAAGTTTTCCCAACACAATTGGGGGATAGAGAAATAAATTTGTTGATGCAAATACTACATGGATTCACTAGAGAGAAAGTGATATGTGTCTAAATTGATACAATCTTACTACTTTGCTATGAACTTATTATAAATGTTAGTTAACTTTCTTAATAGCTAGTTGAGGAATTATTTTTGCGGGTTAACCCACGACCCAACTGCATCCATCCGCCACCCATCCAACCCGACCCGCATAAGAATGTGGGTTGATTGCGGGTCACAATTATTCCAACCCACTAGGAAGTGGATGAGTCAATTTGAGACGAAAACTCACCCACCCACCCATTGCCCACCACTACTGTGCGGCCGTCGAAAAATAGTCGAACTACCGATGAAAGGGCATGTTATGCCACAAAATGGGCAGTCCTATGAGCAGTGTGCAAAATAAACAAACACATAACCGCAAACAGCCGAATATATATAGACATTAAAATTAACTATGTCATAATCCTTGCTCCTTTAACCTCAAACAAATATCATCTCACTGTTTCAGCTGCTGCCAATGGCTCAAAAGTCAAAACTAAACATGCACTTATCTTCGCATGCCACAGTTACATGCATTCGCCTACCATCCACGTTGCACACACATGAAATCAAAGCAACAGCCATCGGCCAATTTGACCTTAATTCCTGCCAAGAAGTTCGATGAATGCAGTCACGGGTGTGCCGCATATCAAGTCCTTTGCCATTTAAAGTCTAAAACAGAGTACAGGGCAATTGCAGCATGCTGATGAACTTCATTAAAGTAAATCAACTGAGAGGCAAGATCTACAACACGAGAGTTCACTTCAGTCGAAAGTCATCACTGGTTCTTGAACCATGTCCCTGCATTAACTACAATAAAGAATAATCTTATCTCATCTCTTCTCTAGTTATTAGCAACTTTTCTCTGCTTTAATTCATTCATTCAACCTAGAAGGCAGGCTATTTTGGGGCAGCAGATAAGTGGCAACCCAAAGCTGTTGGCTTTGTGAGCAGAGGAACCATTAAACTAAGTCACCCTGGTATAACTCAAAGACAAACACAACCACTACATGTGCTGCCATTTCACACATCTCAGTAGCCATCCCCATGTCGAACTCATTCCCAAGTCCAAAGAAATACCGAGCATAAATTTTTACTGCACAAGAATCAGGGGAAGGATGCGAGAGTTGATAAAAGTTCACCGCAAACCAAAACTGTGAAGAGAAGTTACAGCTGGACTGGCCAGTAGCCAAGCTTGGTGAAAGCGACTGCTTGAGTTAGGATAAGAGTGAGTACCTTTGTAGAATGGTAAGCTCTGGCCAGGAGCCCCAAATAATAGTTCATGCTGCAAACAGAACAGTTATGGAAGTGGTCCACTAATACAAAAGAAAAACCATGCAACGAGGCAGCCAATTCGTGCCAAATTGACAATGACCTCGCAGAATAGTTGGCCCCAAGTCTGCAGTTTGCATAAAAACTGGGCAAGAGCAACTAATCAATACAGCAAAGATGCTACAATGTCCTACCAATTTGCTTCATGCTAGCTTCTTCACAATTTTCTTCACTTCATCCTTCATTAAACTAGTAAAGTGTGCTTCTTTATGCTCGTCTCTATCCCATCTGCGATCCACTATTGCTCAACAAGTTCTGAGTTTCTCCTGAAACAACTGTAACAGTTCAGGAGCCTCCTCTTTATAAGGGTCAAAAAACTTCTTTTGGAACCCCTCATTCGTTAGTGCCAATGCCTGAACCGAGGCTCTAGATTCGATCAACCCTTTTGACAACAAGACACACAGAACAGCATCTCGAGGCATAATCCTCTTATCCAAGCTGAAGGCCAGTAATACAGGTCGAGCTGTAATAACCAAAGGATCAAACCCCATTTTGTTAACGTAGTAGTCCATATTGGCCATAAGTTTCTTCACAGACATTGCCATACACCATGGAGACTTCGTGAAAGCCTTCAGAATCAGTTCGTTGGACCAACCCCACTTCTTATAAGCATCAATCTTGCTGTCCCAAGTTCCCTTGCTCACTCCTCCAATCGTCTGAACAGCTACATTGAATTGCCTTAACCTAGGATCCACCCCCATTTTCTTGACACGTTCTATAGTCTGAGAGAGTTGACTCCGTGAAGTCATGAGAGTCCTCGGGTGAAACAAGAATAATCGCACAATGCTCGACTCGCCGACCCCACTTTCTCTAAGAATCCTGATACCAGGGATCACATATGTCTCCAGCTCACAAGTCAGAAGGAACGGGCTGCGCCTTATAGCCCGAATAAGGTTCTCATCAGACGGCATGAAAGTTTTGAAGAAGTTGAGATTAGGGAGCAGCTGGTTCTCTATGATGGCGTGAAGTATCTCGGGAGTTCTAAGCAAGATTTGAGCAATGTCGGAGGTTGAGAAGCCGTTGGATTCCAAAAACCTAATCCTGGGAATGAAGTGTGATGATCAGGATCAGACACTAGGAGCCGGGGGTGCCTACCGAAAACCTTAGGCAATTGGGAATCCGTGAAACCCAGGTTCCTGAAAAAGCCCAGGACTACATCAGCTCTCTCTGGGGTTTCGAAATGGATGTACTTACCAGCAGAAGCAGTAGATTCAGGACGAACCCCGCATTCGTTTATGAGGTAAAACACAGCGAAAGGGACTGGAGCAGTTGGGTCGCTGGAGAATAGCCGCAGACAGGAAAGAAACAAACAAGCGTTTACTCTACCAGATAAGCAGGAACTATCGCTATGGAGCAGCCAATTCTTTAGAACAAATCTCGCCCGATGCAGCATTTTCCCAAACTAAGAATCTGACGGGAAGCGAAGAGCAATATATGCAATGAACTCGGAGAGAGTATTGGGGATTTGAGAGGTTATTACCTTCTCAGGCGCAGAAACAGCTCCGGCGACGACAATTGAGATTTGAGGTTGATTCGTTTGTGGGCGGCGGAGGCTGCCAAGTTTGGGATATTGCTAATGTTTAGGGGTTGTCGTCGGGGAATCGAAGAAAAGGAGGATGAATGAGATGGCCAACAAAAAGCAGACTCGGGTTTGCCACCAGTTCTCGAGGAATTTTGGGCTTCTAGGATCAGGCCCAAGATCTCAAAGCCTAATGAACCTAGACCTATTTTGATATCGGAAATCATATATTGGGCTAAGTGCTAACAGCTAACACGCTAATCGGATCCCGCCCATCCCCTAGACCCCTACCAACCATCCTTGGTAGGTTTGGCAACCCTGAGCCCCTGACCGACCCGTTCAGATGGCGACCAAATTACCTGTCCGATCTGGGTATTTGACGGATTCGTGTATGCCCGAAACCCGTGAATAGCCGCTGATGGGTGGCGGATTTCGTGGTATCTGCCACGTCCCCGCCTCGTATCTTCAAACGAAGTCGTATATAAACCAAACTAAGGATAGGGAAAACCCTAATCCTCATATCTTCTCAGCTTCCCCATCTGACTGCTCTCACCCCTTTGATAGGTTTACTTTTCGCTGTTTAGGTACTGCTTAAGGGATACGAACTTGGGACCTTGAAGTTCAAGAAAAAGTGGTATTACCACTAGACCAAGTCCTTGTTCGTCTTAGGTTCAAATTTCTTAAGTAGCACATAATATTAACAGAAAATCTATGACACCCTTATAAAAGATTTAATGTTATCAAAATGACAAAAGTTGAAGTAAGAAGGGAAATGAATTTATTTGGTTATAAAAGAGTAAAACTTACATGAGATAAGAAAGACATTTGTCTATTAAATAACATACTAACCATATAGACAAAAAAAAAAATCTTGATTATTATCTAAAAACTCTAACTTATATACTTATGTTTAATTAGTCAAATTTTCACACACCAAAATATGATAAATTATATTGTAATTTCCTCTGTCAAGATGAATTCCCGAACCCACCTCGTTACACACCGACTCTACTACTCACGGTAATGTTATTATATGAATTTTCCAATGTGGCATTTTGATGATTAGTCATGTGATATATGATTATTTATGTCATTGTATGATTATTTAGTATTTATTATTCATTATATTTTTTGATATTATTCAAATATTTCTCATATATGTTGGTAAAGTTTCTTGTTGTGATCCTTTTAAAAATATATATCTTTATTAAAAGAAAAAATGATATTCCGACAGCATGAAAGGGTTTAATCACGGTTATATATATATATTTTTTTTTATAATGGTGATAGGACTCCATTAAAAAAGTTAGAACCAATGTCCAAAAACCAAAATACAAGGCAGGAAGATTGCAAGATAATGGTGAATCACGGTTATATATTCATGCCATAAAATATCATAATATTGACTTGTCCACCTATAACATTTGGTATGATTTGCAAGCATTGCCCTTAATACACATCTTCTTTACAAATTTATAACGATTTGGATTATAAGAGTTATTACAAGTTATGATATCGATCTATGCAGCCCGCTCATCACTCACATGCATCCAACCAACGGATGCTTGGATGGGTGTGAGCTAAGCTTGTGAGTTTTGATTTATTTATTTATATAAGCTCTGTTTGTGGATGAAGTACCAAAGATGAGTACCCTACAACAGACCTCTTGGCACCACCTAAACCTTGAGTGACAGTGACCGGCGAAACGAAGGAGAAGACCTTCAAAGTTTACCGTTTCCAGCTTTTGAATGAGCAATACTTCTAGCCAAATGACGAATGATTTTTATGTTTGCGTCAACACTGGGTTACAATCTTTTTTTTCTGGGGGAATAAGAAAACACTGGTAGGTTATGACTAGGAATCCCGCAGGTCGGAAATGGAATCAGTCAACTCCATGTATGTTCCCATCGACCATCGCCGTCGATATCCTTACTCGTTTATTATTATCCGACCAGCCTCCAGACTTTGCTTAGCCAATTACCAAGCTGCAATCCAACAAGAAAACGACGATTTACATATACGAATTCTTGGGCGGGACTTGTTAAGCCGAGGTTTCGGTCTGAAAATGACCTTGCGAACTTCCTGATTCAAAGTTCAACCGCAGTTTCCATTAAACAAGTGTAACTGGTCCAAGGATAATAAGTTTAATAACCATTATCACTTCTGGTTTACGTGTAAAATTGGTTATTAGCACAACTGGTTTACGAGTAAAATTGGTATAAGGAAGTAAATATATTAAAAATGAATATCATTTTTTTTTGCCATAGATAGAAGGTAGATAGACAGTTGATTACAAGTGGGGAAAAAGTAAATAGTGGTAGTCAACCGAGTGTTGAGCTACCGATGCAAGAGCCGTTTTCGCCACTAAATGGGCAGCCCTGTTAGTCCTACGAGAAGCAAAAACAAATTGAATGTACTGAAAGCTTGACTTTAGCAGTCGGACTTCCTCCAAGATCGCTCCACCCGAATCATGATGAACGTCATTCTCCCGCGCTCGCCGGATCACAAGTTGAGAATCACCACAGAAGCAAACGGTGAAATATCCATGATTCAAACACCATAACATATCATCACGCAAGGCCAATAACTCTGCGAGAAAAGGGTCAGACAAACCTGTGTAGTACTTACCATACGCACAGACCAGTGATGCCCCTTCAGCAAAGCCCACGAACCCCGTGCTACCGCCGACATCTTTCCGGAGAGCTCCATCAAACCTTACCAAGATGCCCCCAGGAGGGTTCGAGATCGACGGAGGCGGCCTGACCGGTTGTCGACTTGCAGATGATTCGGAACTAGAGCTCCTCGTCGCCGCCCACCACTCACTAACCTGAGAAGAGAATTGTCGGTGGAGTGCTGTGGGCAAGTATTGCAGCTGATCATAAGTGGCCCAGCACCGGCCCTTCCACACCCGCCAAGCGAGGAATACTAGTTCCGCAATCTGCACCTTGGAAAGCTGCAAATCAAAGAAAATGAGCCGCCACGCAGCATCCGGGGAAAGAAAACATACCGCCTGCCGAATCCGTTCCTGGCCAGCAATATCCCAGACCTCACACGCTACCCTGCAATTGAAAAAACAGTGGGAAATAGACTCAGCCGCCGCCGAACAGACAGGACAGGAATCATCATCACATAAAGTTTTCTGTTTTAGAACAGCGCGCAGCGGGAGGAACCCGCGAACAAGCCTCCAAAGGAAAATTTTAAGTTTAGGGGGGGATGGGAAGATTCCACAGGAGCTTCCAAAACTTGGTATCACAATGAGGCGAGACAGCCGCAAAATTCGCCGAGCGCGCTGCCGACAAGACTTTATATCCTGACTTCACGGAATAGATCCCATTTGGAGCATAATGCCATATTAGCCTGTCCGAAAAAGGAGATGTCGGCAGGGGGATCGATAGAATCAGTTTGACGCTGTCACCATGGAATAGTAGGCGGAGAAGCTCAACGTTCCAAGCACGTGAAATCGGGTGTATCAGGGACGCCACAAAGGGATTTGGGAGGATAGCCCCCTCCAGCAGCTTCGGGGAAGATGGTGGAGAGGAAGGGAGCCAGGCATCCTGTAGAATATCAATGGTCGTCCCGCACCCAACCTGCCACCGAAGACCCTTAACCAACAGCTTTCGCCCTCAAGTACCCCTTGCCAAGCCCAGGAGGGGCAGTTACCTGTAGAAGCTTTAAGGAACGACGTATTATGATGATACCTCGCTTTATAAATGCGAGCCAATGTGGACGAGGGATCGCGAACCAATTTCCACGCCTGTTTGGCCAGCATAGCCACATTAAACAGATCAAAGTCCTTGAACCCAAGCCCACCTTCAAATTTGCTCGTACAGGCCGCCGGCCACGAAATCCAAGGGATCCCCTTCTCTTTATCTTGCCCCACCCACCAAAAACGAAAACCTGACTATTCAACCGATGACAGCTTGTGGAGGGCAGCCTGAATGATAGCATCGTATACACTGGGGTAGCCGAACCTACAGCCTTAATCATAACTTCTTTTGCTGCTAGCGACAAGGCCTTGGTCTTCCAGCTTCGAATGCGACCTGCAAGTGCATCCTCCACATATTGAAAAGTTGTGACCTTGGACCTTTGAACTTGAGAAGGCAAGCCAAGGTACTTGTCCAGCGGCCCTACAGCAGAAATTCCCAGCTGACCCGCCAACAAAGAAGCTTCCTGTTCCGTGACATTGGAGCTGAAATAAACAGAAGACTTGGAGAGATTCACCTTTGCTCCACTTGCAAGTTCATAGGTCAGGAGGAGATTCAGGAGCGAGGAGCACTCCGCAGATGAGGCCCGCAAGAAGAGGTACGAATCATCAGCAAACATCAGGTGAGACACGATGGGAGCATTCCGATGTACTTTCAGCCCGTGCAGCTGCCCCGTAGATAGCGCACCATCAATCATAGCTGAGAAGGCTTCAGTGTAGATGGCAAACAACAGAGGCGACAGAGGATCCCCTTGCCGAATACCACGCTGAGGACGAAAATAACCATGCTCAGTACCGTTTAAAATCAGAGAAAACGAGACTGAGGTCACGCACGCTTTCATCCACTTAATCCAGTGCGTATCAAAACCCAGAACTTCCATTAAAGCAAACAAATATCCCCATTCAACTCGATCATAAGCTTTCTTCATATCAAGTTTCACCGCCATCCACTTCTCCCGTCTCTGCGGTTTTGTTTTTAGGAACTGCATGACCTCCTGCGCTAAAAGAATATTATCCGAAATATCCCTACCTTTGACAAACCCATTCTGATCCTCACTGATTATACTCGGCAGGACTTGGTTCAACCGGGCTGCCAAAACTTTGGCAATTGCCTTATAAAATACCCGACACAATCCAATTGGTCGCATCTGCTTCATGAGATCCGCATTAGGCACCTTAGGGATCAAAGTGAGGAGCGTATGGTTGAAGTTATGCAACAAACGACTCGAACGGAAGAAAGAAAGAGCTGCTGTCACAACCGAGCCCCCAACTATATCCCAAAATGATTGAAAGAAGGCCGCTGTATACCCGTCGGAACCAGGTGCTTGACTAGCCCCTAAGCTCAATATCGCCTTTCTGATCTCCTCGGCTGAAACCTGGGCGGAGAGAAGGAGGTTGTGATCTACTTTTACCTTCCGAGGCAGCCCAAGAGCGTTGATGAGGAAGTGAGGGGGATTCCCATCCGACGTGAAAAGCTTCTGGTAGAAAGCTACAGCCACTCCCCCTTTGGCATCCTCATCAAAATGGACACCACCATTCTCATCTCGCAGTACCTCAATCCTGTTCTGCCTCCTGTTTTGCCTGACTTTAGCATGATAGAAGCCAGTATTAGACTCTGCTTTTTGGAGCCAATCCACCCGAGACTTCTGACGCCAGTAAGCTTCCTCTTGCCTATAAGCCTCGGCCAGCTAGCTTTCCATACTTATGATCGTATGCCAATCAATCACTTCTTGTTCCCTTTCAGCTTCAATCGCGGACCTGAGCTCCCGAATCTGCCTAGCCGAATTTGTGGTTCCCTTCCGCGCCCAATCCACATACCGGTGGCGGGCTGCTTTAAGAGCTGAGTATAGCTGGAACTGCGAGGTACCTGCATAGACTGTTTGCCATTCCAGGACAGCAACCTGCCTAGCCTCGTCATTAGAGCACCAACGCCGATCGAAATGAAACCGGGGCTTACCCTTCCCAGCCCCTGGGAGAAACTGGAGCAGCAACATTCGGTGATCCGAGCCCAGGTCAGTTAGATGATTCACCTGCAATGATGGCCAAACACTTAGCAAATTCTCGTTAGCCAAACCACGATCGAGTATTTCTAGGATATAAGTACTCAACCCCTGCCTATTCGACCAAGTAAAGGGAGAGCCCTTGAAACCAATATCTACAAGGCCTGAGGAATCAAGGAAAGACCGGAACTGTTCCATGGCCGCAAAAGAAGGGAGACTCCCTCCCTGCTTCTCAGAGGCAAATAAGATGCAATTAAAATCCCCTATAACAACAATGGGGGTAGCACACGAAAAAATCAAATCCATAATTTCATTAAACTGCTCAAGCCTACGCTGTACATCATAATGTAGGTGAACAAACACAAAGGACATAACACTCCAGACTACATGCTGACACTCCACGTAAATAAACGAAGAGGACTCTCCTACGACTCGACAATTCACATTGGGGGAGCAGGCTACCGCTAAACCCCCCGACCGCCCAATAGCAGAGACACAATGAACGAAATGGAAACCTAGACGCAATAGCTTGCTATTTACAAAATCGTCATCTCTCTTGGTTTCACTAAGGAAGAGAACTGCCGGAGAGAAGCGACGAACGACTCCAAACAAAGAGGGAACTGTAAGGGTAGAGCCTAGGCCCCTACAATTCCACACCAAGATACTCATTTGGGGGATTGGGCCCAGTTCAGGCTGGAAACCACCACCATTGCTCCAGAATCGGCATCAGCATCAATTTCCATGTCTGCCTGTCGAGGACGTTTGGCGACTGGGGACTCTGTCCGGAGGTCCTGCACTTGATCCCAGTTCCGCTGCCTTGATGAAGGATTCCGATCAGGTCCCATCAGGAGGTGTTGCTGCTGACCATAGGGGCTGCTCTCCGCCTTACGAACCCAAGTAAACATTTGCTTACGCAGGAGGGTCTGCTCGTTGACCTTGGGGCCCTTAACTTGGACCAGAATATGCCTTCCATAGACAGGCTCAGCAGCAGCTAGGGCCTCCCACTGTGGACACGCCTGCCCAGTGTGACCTATAACACCACAAAGGTAACAGAGTTGTGGTAGCTTCTCGTACTTCACCCTCGCTTCAAACTCTCCCCTCCCATCCTTCTCGTGGGTAGCAGGGACCGAGAGCGGCAGAGGGAGACGGCCATCAATCCCAACCTGGGCACGAAGATAGATCTCTCCAGTCTCCGGAATTCGATGAACCGAGGGGGAGGAGGTTCTCCCCAAAGCCTGACCAAGGAGGATAGCTATCTTCTTGGTGCAGCAGTCAATGGGAACATCCCAAAAATGAAGCCCTAGCGGGACACGCCACAACTGCTCTGCAACGTCGGCTGAAAATGGCACCCATGGAGCTAGGTTAACCAGAAACTTGGGAAGGAACCAGGGAGACATCTGGCGGATTCGGTCTCTGTCCTCAACAGAGGGGAAAGTGAATTGCAGCACCCCCTCACACATTGGGCTGATCGACATCGCCCCGTGACATCGCCAGAGCCGACCCAATGTGTGCTGGAGACTAGCAATCGAGGGCGACTCGCCAATAACCCGGCCCAGGAGAGAGAGTTCACTCCTAAGCGCACCCGCAACAACATCCTCATCACCAAAGACAACCCTATTGACAGCAGCCATGGATGAGAAGAAGGGATTTCGAAACAAGGAAGCCTCCACTAGCGGGCGAAGAAATGGTTTGCAGAGACACCAATTCAACTTGCTGCGATGACCCCAGGCCGGGGCCTTTATAAGCCCCATCAGGGGAGACCGTTTCCGGCGCCGCACTAAGGCGGAGTGGCCCGTTACGGCGAGTCGCAAGGCGGCGAACTGCTCGCTCCCACTCCCCACGATTGAGAGGAGAGGGGAGGGATTTTTTCAATTAAAAATGGATATCATTTTGTAGAACACAAAAGATCAGTTTTAGTTGTGTAAAAAATATACAAATCAAGTTCATAAAAATCGATTAAGAAAAATAGAGAAAATAAATTTTTTTTATTAATTTTCATGACCCCGCTCAAAAATAAGGTCCAGATTTGATAATGTATTTATGCATAACGAAAAGGATCCAATGACTTCGAAAGAACTGAACGAGGAGCCGTATGAGGTGAAAATCTCATGTACAATTCTGTAGAGTGGCAGTAAGAGTGACCTATCTGTCAACTTTTCCACTATCGCCCCCAAAAAACCAAACTCTGTCTTACGTAAAGTTGTCAGAGTACGATTAACCTCTGGATTTGAAATCACTGCTTATATACCTGGTATTGGCCATAATTTACAAGAACATTCTGTAGTATTAGTAAAAGGAGGAAGGGTTAAGGATTTAACTGGTGTGAGATATATCATTGTTCGAGGAACCCTATATGCAACATATCATGGACTGATTTTATATCCATTGAAAGCTCGATTGAATTCTTGATTTCTTCTTTAGGTTTCGCTCTCATATTCTGTCTACCAACTTGAATTGCGAATGCCCCATTCTTGTTTCGTTTAATGTAATCTTGGCACAATGTTCATAGTTCTAACTTGTATTACATCACAAGCGTAGGCCCCCTGGTTGGGTAGGATACCTCATAATTCAATATTTCTTCTTAAATAAAGTACTTTGATACACTTAAGTCATGAATCATTGGTAGGGATGGAAGTTTGGTTTGCGATTTGTGGATAACTAAAAAATCTCACCAATCTGCACACGTGATTAATAACAGTTACAAGTTGTAGATAGTAGGTTAGGTGTGGTTAGTAAATTAATAATTTGTTAGTGGCTCACAATGATTAACCCCACAAAATGCACAGTAACCCATTAGATTAACAATCTTTTGTTTAATATACTACTAACCACAACAATTAAACTCGCAATAACTACATTGAACTAACAGTGTTTTGTTCTACATCCTCCCAATTGAAATCCACTCTCATCCGCGAAGGAATCTTAGAATGGTGACCGATGCCTAAAGTGGGGAACGAAATTCATGGAGGCATTGACCAAAGGAAACAACTTGTGACACCACGTACGTCAATGAAGAATAGAGCTGGAACGAGAGGGGGAGACAAGAACATGCTACGGTAGGTGGACCGGAACAGAGGTAAGATGGTTGGTTGAGAGAGGACAAAAAGGGAGGATGAAGGGATGGAGAAAGGAGGTGCTAGTCGATCTCTTTAGGAACGTGAATTCTTTTATGCTTCATGCATAATGCATCTATTTTTATGATTTAATTAATGAGAAGTCTATTGTATATAGTATTCTTATTATCAAGGTTGTCAAACCGGTTTATACCGTTGTGCCGGTTAGGAAAGTGGAATGGTACGACTGGTGGTATAATCAGTTTGTGCCGGTTCATGCCGGTTTAAAAAAATATGAAAACAATTAATATCCAATGTATTTAATCATATATAAAATATATTTGTGGACAATTTAGTTACAATCCAAAAAATACTATCAACTTTTAACTATTACATTCATAAAAAGAATAATAAATTAATTTTTTATTCATTAAATTCATTAAAATGATGTCATTAAACATAGAATGCTTAAGTCGATCATACCGGTCATACCGGTGGTGTCATACCGGTTTCATGACCGGTACAGGAACCAGGTTGAACCGGGTGGCATGCCACCGGCATGACAACCATGCTTATCATTGATGCTTGATGTCAATCTATGTTTGTATAATCTATTGCTTGAGTTGTTCGATGCCATGATTATTAGATGCTTATATCATTTATGTTTATGATTCTATTATGTATTACTATATATGCACTGTTTATACTACATGGGATACAAGGAAACTAATCTCGTGTAGTAGGCATCTACTTAGACGTGTATAGGAGGACTAGCTACCCTTCTATATATGAATTAGTAGGATGATGCTTGATCATTTATATCATCGATACTATTGACCATCGATTATGGCTCTTAGAGGCCTATGCTTAATCATGTGTTATCCTAACTTCATTGTTCTTCGTTGTTTAGGTAATGACATTGGCGAAAACACGCATTAGCTGGTAAAATCTCTATCGCAAGAGGCGCATGCACGAGTAGAGAATGACCTTAGTGGAAGGGATAGGGCATCATAATAGAAGAAGCATGGGTCGAAAGCACGCATTTGCTTGCATTGTTTGTTCTTTTCTTACATTAGTAGCTTAGTAAACTCGAATAGGGCACCTCAACCCACGTCATATTTACTTCTGCTTTCATCTTAATTCGTGCTCAATAGGTTAGGTTTGTGTAGTTACTATCAAAAGGCCTCGTGGAATACCACCCTAGGAACTCCTAGGATTTTATCACTTGTCGTTACATCAAGTTTTTGGCGCCGTTGCCGGTGATTTTTTTAATAATAATTGAAAGAAACTAACCTCTTGTGTTTGATTACTTTGGAAAGCTATTACCTCCTTATTTATTTTTGTTTTGTAGGGCTCGTACTCAAGGGAAGCATTGCAAGCTATCCAAGGGCGATAATAATTGAAGCATCACTTCAGAGAAAGGGATAGAGGATCATAATAGATGGTGTATAGAAAAATCTCATTGTTAAGTTAGTACACATGATAATCTAGAGAAAACTACCTAAGCAATCCTTTTACTTGCTTTGTTTTCATTATTTGCTTTCTTCTTTGCAGTAGTAGTAACTCGACATCTGGACACTTCAACCCGCTAGTTTTACTTTTCTTTGCATCATCATTCAAATATATTGGTTTAGATTTGAGTAGCTACTATCAAAAGATCTCATGCAGGATTTTCACTTTGGTACTACATCAATTGGTTTCTTTTTTTGTATTTCATGATGCATTCCTCTTTTCCTTCCATGTTGCTCTTGCAACAAAAAAGTAAACAAGGTGAAGAAGAAGAAATAATCATTCATCTTTTACTTCTTTGTGAGTATTTTATTTTCTATACTAAACTTATATAGAAAGACAACGAATACCTATATACCACTCACCGCGAATCACAAGCTAGCGGGCAAAACTAGTATAGATCAAATGAGAGACATCAATTGACACTTGTTAAAATCAATTTATAGTTCTCCATATTAATATATCTATACTAACTTTTGAGTATTTAAATGACTAATTATGCAACACTTTAACTTCAATGTCCACCTGCATACAAAATTTGACAGTTACGTAAAACCTTTACCCAAAGTACCATTCAGCAAGGATACAAAATTGCCCTCATCATCCACCTCGGAAAACAGGGGAGAGGCAGGGGAGGCTTTGAGCTGGACAGCTCCTACAAAGCCCAATTTTTGACCTTTCTCCTCACCCTCTTCCTCTCTCCTTCTACTACCAATAACCAACTTTCTTCAGCTTTCATCGCTTCATAATCCTCGATAGAATCCCCGGCCCACCCTCAAATTCTACGGCCGAGGTTTTCTGCTCTATCCCAATTTCTTCCTCTTCAAGGTGGGTGCAGACGTCGCCGTCGTCGTGGCTCCGGTGGGTCGCTTTTTAGTTATATCACCTAAACAACAAAAAAGGTGTTTGGTTAAGAGGAGTTGGAACTGAGTTTTCCAACCTACTGTGTGTTAATTAAAAGAATTGGTGCTTGGTCATCTACCACCAGGCTTTGATTGATATCATAAATTATCAAGTAGCTTGCTTACGTCCATTGACTTTCACCGTTACTCTGCCACTATCTGCATAAATATTGTTTCCGACTTGGACCCTTAACCCTTAGACTCGTCTAGATTGAGAGAAGAGAGAAAGCTGCTGCGTCTTTTGGCGGGTAAAAGAAAGAGCCCCGACTTTTCCCGGGTCTTTTTTTCCCTTGCCGTGTTCTTACTTTGCTTCTTTCTGGAAGCTGACCAATTCGGACTACAAGTAAATAGCCCGCCCGCCAGCTACGTTTTCCTCTTCTGCCTTCTTATCAGGTTAGTCTCTCTTCTTCTTCTCTCCTTTGTGTTCTATGAATCTGGAGTGGAAAGCAAGCTATTGGGTGATTTTGTTCCTTTTTTCGAAAATTACAGAGCAATAAAGTTGTTCCCTTTTGTGTTCTCTGAGTGGGTCTCAACAAATCCGGTTTCCTTCCATTAACAACATAAGAAGAGCCTTTTTCCCAGTTGTTTAACAATTTCCTCAGGATACATAAAATAAGAAACGGCTGAATTCCAGGGTCAGGTGCAAAACAGGGGAAAAAGGCGATTGCTTTGAGAAAACATGGAACCCGAAGAGGTTCACAGAGGTGGACGACAGGAATTTGCGAACCGGTGCTTGTTGCGGGCCATGTTCCACACTCGCCGGTCCGATGACGGAAAGAAGAAGCCTTCCCGCAGGAAACGCGGCCAAGGGAGGCGGCTTGGCAGATGTAAGCAATTAACAAAGCAAACCCTACCCCTGAATTTCGCGTCTTCTTAAATCTTAATTTATTCCATGCTTTCAGTCCAATGTTGGTGGCGTGACGTTTTTGCCTTTTGGTCCTGAAATCAACCCATTAAATATTTCGAGGCAGAGAGGGTTCCTCAGTTCCCCCTGTACATTTTCCACTATGTTGTTCTTCACCCAAAAGTGGTTTCCTTTCCTTATAGGCTGCGGACAACCGCGGACAACTTCGTTTCACGATCAGCAGTACGACGACATGAATGCGTCGTTTGAATCGGACCCAGCTGCGCCCTTGCTGGTTAGTTGCTTTTGTTTATGATACTTACTTTCATCCCAAGTTCTTTTTTCATCAATTAGTGTGAAAACTTTGCTGAGTTTTGCTGGTTGCAATTTGGTTAGGTTGACGGGCAGGGGAGCGCGAAAGCTTCCAAGACCAAAGAGCTGATGGTTGCTAAGAAGAAGTCTGTAAAACTGCGGTTACTGAGGACTTATTCACTGAATCAACAGCTGTGGCAGCAGCACGGCCCTGATTGGGCAACTAGTCCCATCATAATCATCCACAAAACCCCCAAAGCTGCTGCTACTTCCCCAAAGTTTCAGGAGGCTCCAAAACCTGCTGCTCGTGAGGATTTGAGCAAATACCAGCTCTCCACCGAGAACCAACTTCTGGCGGAGAAGTACAGCAAACTGGTGAGCAGCCAAAGCGGTTCACAGGCTGCACGCGGAGCAATCTCGAGCCCGGAGGATCATCTGAAAGAGTGCCTTGACCTCCTGGACTTGTTCATGGTCAACAAGAGCCAGTTCCTGGATATCATCAAGAACAAAGAGGCTCAGCTTGGGAATAGCTTCCTCGCCCGCCAGACTTCCACCAAAAGCTTGAGATTGATGAAATCCGGGTCGTTTCCTGCGGTTGATTCTTCGTCGTCGTCTTCTCCTCGTGTTCTTACTCCCAGTATGTTAGAACACAAGCACATGGAAGTGTGGTCATCCCCAAAAAGGCCTACTTCCAAGTTTGCAGATTCAACGGTTGAGAAACCAGATGGCGAGCAGAAGGTGATGCCATTTACTCACAAACGCAAATGGATTGTATCGATAGTGGGCGGGTTTAAGGGTGTCAAGCAGAGGATCCTAAAGCGCGTGTTGAACAAGGGCAGAAAGAAGAACAAAAGAGCATCGACTGGGGAAACAAGGCTAAGGAATTGGATTCGTCTTCGTCGTGGTGGTCATCGCCCGAAGATGAGTAGCAGCAGGAGACTTATTAGTCCTGTGAATGGGGAAATGTTCCAAGTAAGAAGAACACTGTCTCTGAGCGAATCATTGCACAAGTACGCTCCATTGATGGAACGCAGTTCATCCTTTGGTAATAATCAGACGACATGGCAGTACAGAAAGTCACAGAGCTTAAGGTTGAGTAATGAAGACAAGAGTCATCAGAATCGTCTCAAGTATTCCTTCAGGAGGAGGCTGTCTCTGCCTGATCTTGATGCTATATTACAGGCAAAGGAGCAAGATGGTCAGGATGAGACAAATCCTTCCAGAAGGAATTCTCTAGACAGAAAGGAGCTGCTGCCACTGGATTGTATCGACGAAATCGAACCTTCAGAAAGTAGTCATGTTGCTGTTCAGATCGACGAGGAGCAAGACGATGAAGAGAAAATCTTTGTACAAGTTCAAGAGATTGCTTCTTCATTTCCATCAAGCAATGATGACCAGAAGCCAGTTGAAAACAGTAGGCATCCACTTTCCTTGTCCAATCCACTTTTTTCTTTTCTTTCCCTAGTACTTAAATTAAATAAATCCTGACAGGTTCATTCTGCTCTATTGATTGTTTCAGTTCCAACAGAAGAAGCAGCAGCAGAAAGTTTCTACAGAATGGAAGGAGTTCAGCTCAAGCTCAACGAAGACAGCGCGGATTTCGATTACATCAGGGACGTGCTAGAGGTATCCGGGTTCCTCGACCAGGGTCGCTGCTGCTTCCCAGGAACATTGTGGTACTCACTAGACCAGCCGTTGAGTCCTTTGGTGTTCGACGAAATGGAGTCCCTCCTGCAATCTGTAGAGGGGGGATCCATGTCCAGCAGCATCCATCGTCGGCTTCTTTTCGATCTGATCAACGAGGAGCTGATTGGGATCTACGGCAGCTCGTTGACATACTTCCCCAAGCCTCTGAACGTCGGTCAGGGGAGCCAGCTGATGCCCAAGGGGAGGCGGGTTCTGGAGGAAGTGTGGAAGAGGATCGGTGGGCGTCGGTTGCCGGAGATGGATCTGTCGCTGTTTGACATCTTTTCCAGGGACATGAAGAGAGGCGATGGGTGGATGAACATTCAATTGGAGAGTGAGGATGTGACGCTTGAACTGGAAGATTTGATTATGGACCAGCTACTTGAGGAAATTTTGTGTTGAGCTTGGAGGGAAAAAGAGCACTGTTGAGCTCTGCTGAACGGTACCGCCTGCGCCAGGAATTTTGTTTCCTTCCTGGGGGTGTTTGTACATAAATAAAATCCATTCTATAGTGGCAACTGATTGTTTATTTGTTTACGCCACATTGTTGTAGGCTAGTGTATGGCTGAACAAAGTGTCGTGAAATACAAAGATAGGGGTTTATGTTTCTAGTCAACAATTACCAATCTATGATAAACAAATAGAAAAAATAAAAAAGATTGATTCTCAATGTTCTCTTTCTAATTAATATAAGAATCGTTGATTGAGAGATTGAGGAGATGATTGAGACAATGGAATCACTCAAGAAGACTTATGAATTCGAGTTATAGATTGTTATCGAGTACTCATTCGTTTTTCATACAATTCAAGAGTTTTGATTGAGAATTTTTTGGGGATTAACTAACTAGAAGGAGGGGGTAAGTACCTTGACATCTCATTATCTTATATGTAAAAGTTGGCTACGCTTTATTGGCCCAAACTCTCAACTACTGTTTCATTATCTGTCGCCTACTGAAAAAAGGCATTTGGGTCTCTCTTCCATCTCTCCACAATGGCCTGCCTTCGCCGCCATCTCGCCTCCGCGAGTTCGGTCACCATCACCGCCATATACCTGCGGCCTAGCCCCGGTCCAATCAACCTCTCTCCCTCCGTACGCGAAACCCATACCCCCTTACCGCAAAGTCTACGATTGCGGGTCGCCCTGCAGTCCTCTCCTCCTTCCACCACGAAAACTGACTTCGCCTCTTTCACGAGGACCATGATTTTCTTGTCAGTACGCCATTTCGTTGCTGCTCGACACGCTACCGCCTATCAATTGTAGGGCTATGCCCTTGCCCCTCTCGATTAGTGAAGCAGCGACCTCCTTTGGTTTGCTCCTCTCCAATTCGTCTCCACCCCTGGCTTCATTTTTCTCTATTCCCACTTTACACGGCCGCCGATTAAGCTCGCCCAGCAATTTCACTGTCCAAGAGTGTTGCCTTCTCAAGTTTCAGCCTTGGATAGAAGGAAATGCCCGTCGGCAGGGCGGATTCTCGGAGTTCTCATCTTTGACGGATGAATTTTTTTTGGTAAGGATGATATATATTAATTAAATAAGAAGAAGAGTTACAACACAGGGAAACCCAAAGCGGTAACGGTAAACTGACTTCGCCTCTTTCACGAGGACCATGATTTTCTTGTCAGTACGCCATTTCGTTGCTGCTCGACACGCTACCGCCTATCAATTGTAGGGCTATGCCCTTGCCCCTCTCGATTAGTGAAGCAGCGACCTCCTTTGGTTTGCTCCTCTCCAATTCGTCTCCACCCCTGGCTTCATTTTTCTCTATTCCCACTTTACACGGCCGCCGATTAAGCTCGCCCAGCAATTTCACTGTCCAAGAGTGTTGCCTTCTCAAGTTTCAGCCTTGGATAGAAGGAAATGCCCGTCGGCAGGGCGGATTCTCGGAGTTCTCATCTTTGACGGATGAATTTTTTTTTGGTAAGGATGATATATATTAATTAAATAAGAAGAAGAGTTACAACACAGGGAAACCCAAAGCGGTAACGGTAAATGATGACTCGATATTTGCACATGTTTTCCCCTGTGTTTCTTGATCGTTTGAGCTTTAATTATCACATCTTTGGCCTATTTTACGCTAGGTTGTGTTCCTTTGTCATATTTCAGGTCCTAGCACATAAAGTGAAGCATAGGCGCAAAGTTCAAGTCAATCAGAGATCAATTGACGATTCGGGAGAAGACACTCGGGTATGACCTGAAGAAGAATGGATTTCTACCTCACTTCATGAACAAAGAATCATTCAAGCTTGTTATGAAATGAAAGAGGACGAGAATACGAGCGTCTGGGATCAAACGGCGACTGATTCGGAGTCCGGACGAGGGAGAAACGAAGCATTGAACAGGCTCAGCAGTGAAAACACGGGCAGTAGGCCTTCAGAACACGGCCGTGTTCTGTGACCGTGTTTTTACTGCCGAGAGCTGATTTGAGTTTGGCCAACTCGAGCTGAAAACACGGGCGGGCTGAGGCAAAGCACGGCCGTGCCCTCGACCGTGCTTTGGCCACTGATGCCCTTTTTAAGCAGATTTCAGCCGAAACAGAGGGGGAGAGCTGGGTTTTGGATCCCAAACACCCAAGGGACGAACCAAAGAGAGAGGGGGCGATTTGAGGGCATTCTTGGAGTGGAATTGGAGGATTTCTTCACATTGGAAGCTCAAGGAACAAGCCCGGACTTGAAGACTGATCATCATAAGATTCTTACTGCAGTCTCTCTCTTCTCTATGGAGTAACTTCCCTTCACTTAGGTTTTGAGGAACCCTAGCTATGTTTGTTTGATTGGATGATTGTATGAGTACTCTTACTTGATAATCTTGAGTTCATATTCAATCTATGCATGTTTTCATGATTCAATTATGCTTTAGTCGAGATTATTGATTCTGCTTTGATCCTATGAGAGCGAATACCTGATTAGGTCAATAGAGCACCATAGATTGATAGTAGTGGATCGATTGCTTTAGTCGAGGGTTGATTCACTGCTTTGTATCGATTGAGAACCTCATTCGATAGAGGGAATCTAGTTCAGAACGCCTTGATCAGTTGTTCTAGAGAAGGATACGTCCCTCTAGGCAATTGACTCAAGAGGGCCTTGTTCCTTTAGTCGAGACTCAAGGTCTAGTTAAGGATTCTCCGCATTGTGAATGAAAGTGAAACATGTTAGAGATCATCAATCGTTAATCTGGCTAGTGGCTAGGGGGAATCATACCTAAGTGAGTTCCCAACCTGTAATTAGATTAACTTTAACTGTAGTTTGCTAGAGTAGTTTTAGTTCTTTCATCTTAATCTGGTTTGCTAGATAATGAACTGAAGCTGAGTAATAGTAACTCTAGAGACCCGTGGATTCGATATTTATTACTTGAGCCACTATACTGCAGTCCCTTTCATTGGTTACACTTGGCCACTGTTAGGAGTTGTGTCATAGCGAGTCAAGTTTTTGGCGCCGTTGCCGGGGAATTTCTAGATTATTAGGAAAGGCAGAAGTTTGTTACTTTAGCGTTTTTCTTTTGTTTTCCACCCTTGCTTTTCACTTGGGTGTTTTTGTTTTTGTTGGTGCAGATCTGAATCATGGATCCTCATGGCTTCTCCAACCATTGGGGGTATCCACCACCATTCGAGTGGTATTACCCCGAGACACCCTGGAGCAATCAAGGAGGAGAAGACTATGGATCCGGGTTCCAGTACCAACCCCCTTTCTATGGAGAACAATCTGACCCCTGGGCATATCAAGGACAATCTCATTACCAAGAAGACTTCCTCCCACAACCAGAAGGGCCATCAGCGCTGGAGTTACCCATGGCGGCCTTCACGGGCCATTCTGCAGAGCCATGCTACACTCCACAGCCAGATCCAAACTATGAACTGAGGCTTCTCTTGGAGCAGTTTACTCGAGCCTGTGAGAGAACATGCTCCAGGATGGATCCTCAAATCCAGGCCCTTCCCTCTTCCGATCCCTCATATCTCCGTGATATGGAGGAGGCTGTTCAACGCTCAGCGAAGCAAACAGAGTGGGTTGAGCAAGTTTGTGCACAACTTGCTCAAGATCACCCTTCTGCTACCATACAAGAAGAGGAGGAGGAAGAAGAAGGCTACACGGACATTAGGGAGCACACAGAAGTTGTCACGGAGAGCTCCCGTGATGATCATGATCAGGAATGTCCTGTCGTAGCCGACCACCCTTTCCCACATCCCACACTGCGCTTTGAAGAGGTGGGCATGAGTGAGGAGATGCAAGAAGATCTCATGAAAGAAATTGCTTGGCAACTTGCTCTCCAATCCGTGCTAGAAGAAGAAGAGAGAGAAAGGGTGCAGAAAGAAGTTGTGGAGGATGACAAAAGTGAAGCAGAAGGAGTTCTTGATCATTTCCCAGGGGTGATACCACATGAAGTAAGGGAGGTTGAAGGAGCAATTGGCGTCCAGGCTGATGACGGAGTTAAGGTGGAAGAGGCTTGCACCGGCCATGAGTTGCAGGTAATATCCCCACCAAACTTCGAGGAGCTGCTTGGCAAGGACCCATTTGCAGTGTCTCTTTGCCAGACCAAGGCCACATCGACATCGGTTCCTCTTGGTGGACGCGATGGTGGCCAATCGATGCTGTCTTATCTGGTTTGGGGCAATGAGACGAGAGAAGAGAAGAAGAGGTCTCGAGGGTGGAGACTTCATCTGCATCAAGTACACGAGCCTTCATCACCTGCCACACCACATGCTCGTGACTTGAGACTCCACCTCATCGACGAGAACCTCAACTTCAAGGAGGTTCTAGCATGGACCGAAACTTAGGAGCCATCGTCCGGCTCACGACGTGAAAGAAGCGCTTGTTGGGAGGCAACCCAACCAGTCGGTTTGCATTTCTTTCTCTATTTGTCCTCGGTTGAGTCAGTTTTTTTATTTGATTTTAGAGTCAATAACTCAACCTTTGTGAGATTTTGTGTGGTGTTTGTGTTCTGATTACTCTCTCTTCCTGGAATGCACCGCCTGCCCCGTCCATCATCATTCACCCTTGATCTGGTAACTTCGTTCTACCCTCCTTATCTTTCCTCCATTGAGGACAATGTCGTGCTTAAGTGTGGGGGGGGTGTTCGATTATGTATGCGGGTGAATGTTTGGCTGTTTGTGTGCTTGGAGCCTAGTCCACTGTCCAAATTTTAAATTTGAGGGCTCCAAGTACGTGTTTCCTTGCAAATTGCCTGCTCAGTATGCTTTGAATTGACAGTCTCTATAGTAATGTGCAACCTAGGGAGGTAGTGTAGCACTATGGAGGATGTTGAAGTATAAGATTTTTCCTATCTAGCTCTTTGCTGTGTCAGTTGATTTTGTGAATTAGTGGAGCTAGGACCGTTGAATTCATGTGGTAATGGTGACTCTATGTGGATTGTGTTTTGGACTCGTGTATCAAACAGGGTGCTCATATAGAAAATGGGAAGCAGTTGGTCCTCCATGTCGAAATCATTGAAATCTTAAACATGGGGTAAGCCCAACGTGTGTGGCACCGTTCATTGCACAAAATCGGGTTTTGGAAGAGATTTTAGTGATCCTTAGTGGGGTACTCCTACAAGGTGAAGCTAAGCTGTCTCTAGTACAAGTAAAACTTCCACCGGTTGAACGGTTTGCCTACTCGAGGATGTTTTTTTAAGGGCACGGATAGAGCTTCCGACCCCCCTTAATTTCATTGACCCTCCACACGAGTTGAGGAAAAGGAGTTAAAAGAAGTACTCT